GTGGAGGGGGGCGGCCAGCACCCGTCTCCTGCTTCACCCCGAGCAGTGCTTATCAAACTTATTTTATATTTCTAAGTTGTGTAGTCTTCTCTCTCAAAATCACACACATTTCTTATTAAGGTTATATCTAGGCATGTTGGGGTTTTTTGTGTGCCGGTTGCTGCTGTTTTTTCTCATTATATTTTCAGCGTGATCCACTGTGAAATGGAAGGGCATGTCCATTTGAGCAATTACAGGCCTTCCAAGTACAGAAATGAAACACCAAAGGTAGAGTCTGCCTATAAAAGCCTTTAAATCGATGGTGATAGTGTTATATTGCCCTCGTAAGTTTGTTGTGAGAGCAAAAGAATCAATTTTTTTTTTCTTTTTTTTTTTTGGCTGTATTGGGTCTTCGTTGCTGTGCGCGGGCTTTCTCTAGTTGTGGCGAGCGGGGGCTACTCTTCGTTGCGGTGTGCGGGCTTCTCACTGCGGTGGCTTCTCGTTGCGGAGCACAGGCTCCAGGCGCGTGGGCTTCAGTAGTTGTGGCACACGGGCTCAGTAGTTGTGGCTCGCGGGCTCTAGAGCGCAGGCTCAGTAGTCATGGCTTAGTTGCTCCGCGGCATGTGGGATCTTCCCGGACCAGGGCTCCAACCCGTGTCCCCTGCATTGGCAGGCGGACTCTTAACCACTGGACCACCAGGGAAGCCCCCCGCATGCTGTTCTTATTTAATCCTCCCAACAGCATGAAGGCATCTGATAGATTTGGGCCTAGGAAGTGTCTGGGGCAGTCGATACCTTTTCTTCAAGTCCAGTTGTGTGATTCTCACAACAGCCCCGTGACATAGGCAGTTGAGCATCAGACGCCCAGGCAGCCTCCCCACCGCCCACACTGAGCCCCGCCGCTCCGAGTCTAAGCCAGGTTGAGATGTGTTGCACGGGAGACGCTCCTGGCTTCAGAGGAGAAAGCAGTGAGGACCTGAGACCCTGGACTATGTTTCATTCCCTGGATCGTGCTCCTTCCTGCCCAGCAGGTTATTGGTCTGATGAGTCCCAGAGCTCATACGTGTTTCAGGGCCATCCAGTTATCCCATCTACTTGCGGTTGAGTCATTTGTGTGCTTTTCTAATGAAGTCTAATGCCGTGTCCCAAAGTTTATAGAGCAAAAGTGTGATTCGGTCTAATGACCCATTTGTGCATGGTAATAGTCTGACGTGGGGTGGAAGTCAGCTCGTGGTCCTGGAGGGGCTGTAAATTGCAGCTGTAATCGCACTTGCTCGCCTCCTGACCACTTCCCCTCAACTGCAGCTGGAGCCACTTGCTCCGTCATTAGCATTGCAGGCTGCCCCCGCCCCCAATGTGAGCTGACACATTTTACAGCCCAAATAAGTGTGACGGAACTGTTACACCAACGTTTATTGCCTCTTCTCGACAGCCCTTGTGGAGATAACTTTAATATTTACTCCCTGTGTGAACTGAATATTTCCCTTACCCCTCCTGTTATTGCTCTGGGTTAATCCCTTATAGCCCTGGATTATAGATGTAAACCCCCTGCTGAGCCAAGTTTAAATCATGTGGTTTTGCTTAATGCTGAGTGAACACTCTTGTTACAGTAAACGGCCCCATCGCTATTTTTATTGACTTGCCTGTATCAATTCTGTATTTCCACTAATAGCTCTTCCACCAAAGCACGTCATAATCACTTACTGACCAGATTTTAGAACTAGTGGACACGTAGAGCCTTATAACCAGGGGTACCAGACACTGGTGGTGTTAGTTACCATGTCCTTACTGAGCAGGCCTGCGTGCCTGGCGCTGCCCTGGACTCTGCTGGGAAGGCAACCGAGCCAAGCGGAGCTCAAGCCCCTGCTTCCTCCCACTCAGCCACTCTCTATGCCGAGGAGCTGACACAGGCACACAAGTCATGATAGGACAAGGCCACATGAGTGCCCCCCGGCTGGCGCAGACATTACAATAAGTGTTTCCGGGAGAGAGAGAGAGCCCCTTCTGCAGAGGGGAGCCAGGGGAGCTTCAGCGGTCGACTCAAAGGGTAGGTGGGCTTCTGCACGCTGGGTGTGGATCCACATGAGCCTGAGGGACAGACAGATTGGGACCAAGGTATCCCGGCGCCAGTGAGAAGCTCACGATCACGAGAGGGCGCCGGCCATGCGAGGAATGTGCATAGCAGACCGGGGGCCTGCACAGATAGAAACATGTTCATCTTTGTGCTCTCTTAAAACCATTAAGATCTGTTTTCATTCAGTTTTTTCCCCCAAAGGCCATAAAAGTGTTGTTTCTGAGTGGAATTTTTTAAATCTAATTCATACTTCGGTCAAAGTGGACTCTACATTTGAAGGTTTGTTTTGACTTAAAAGTTTCCTAAAACTTGAGCTCTTTGGATCGCCCCAGTGCAGCTTTCTGTGGAGCTTTTCGTGGAGCTGACTGGGACCAGGTCGCCTCATACAGCTGTGTTTCTTGCGAGTGCGCCTCCCCCCCAAAGGCTCCGCCCTTTAGATTTGCCGACCATGAGAAACAAATGCTGCGTTGACTGTGCCGGTGGGGCCTCTGTTAGGGGGGCCGCACAGGAGAGCCATCGAGACGGTGGCCGTGGGCGCTCACGGTGTCCACAGTGAGTTGGGTGGGAAGACACGTGTTTGTTCTGGGACGCGATCAACACACTGCCGAACCTTCAAACAGTCCACCAAAGGGAGTGTCAGTTGTCGAGCAAATGCACACTTTTGGGAAGTTGTTTTGCAAGATCCATTAAGAACCATAAAAATATTCATACCTGTTTACCCAATAATTCCACTTCTAGAAACCTTTTATAAGAAAAGAAGATCAGAGATGCTATGAAAGGTTTATACATGAGAATGGTAATCCCAGGACTAAGCAGAAACTCTGCAAGTGTTCGTCATATGAGAATGATTACATAAATTACCGTGCATCTTTACAATGCACTTTATCAGTTACTAAAGATATCCTTTCAAAGACTATTTAATGACATAAGGATATAAAGTTTTGAAAAGCGAGTTATGATTCCAAATTTAAATATTCTGTTTATATATACACACATACTTTTTTTTTTTTTTTTTTTTTTTTTTTTTTTTTTGCGGTACATGGGCCTCTCAGTGTTGTGGCCTCTCCCGTTGCAGAGCACAGGCTCCGGACGCGCACAGGCTCAGCGGCCATGGCTCACGGGCCCAGCCGCTCCACGGCATGTGGGATCTTCCCAGACCGGGGCACAAACCCGTGTCCCCTGCATCGGCAGGCGGACGGACTCTCAACCACTGCGCCACCAGGGAAGCCCCACACATATATTTTAAATGTATAAGTGAATTAAAAGACTAGACAGAAAAAATGCTAAAATATTAATAGCCACATACTCTAAAGCAAATATTGTGGGACAAAAGAAGACCTTTATAAGTCCCAGTGTGGTTTTCTTTAAACTTTAGAAATTCGCAGACTATCTGTTAATGGTACCTTCCCAGGTGATAGGGACATTGTTTCCACTTATCCTAGGGCACAGCACACCTTCTTGTCTGCAGTGACCTTTTTATCAATAGTCATATAGTCTACCCTTAAAATTCACAATATACATTCACATCAGTTACGGTTTGGTTTAGTTGTATATAACAAGAAACCCAAATAACAGTAGCTTTAAAAATGTCGGTTTATTTTTCTCTCATGTAAAAGGAAAGTTGGCATTAAGCCAGTAAGTTGGCTGGTGTGATGGCTCCATGGTCATCAAGAACCCAGGCACCTCCCTCCTGCCTCTCATCTTCCGTGTGTGGCCCCATATCCCACTTACCTCATAGTGCTAGACAGCTGCTGATGTTCCAGCCATCAGCTTACAGTTGCCTCCCTCCTTGTCTGTCTCCCTCCTGGCCTCTGAGCTTCCTGAGGGCAGGGATGGGTCTCCAGCCTCACCCGAGCACAGTCCCAGTATGGGAGGTGCCTGCCATTCATCTGTGGCCCAGCCGGGGCTGGGCTGCCCTTTACACCTCCTCCAGGGCTTGCCGGGGCTTTCATTCAACAAATGCCCATACATCATCTCTGCTGCAGAGCCCTCTGCTCTCCGCTTCCTTTTCTCGTCCCCTTGTCAGTGGTCGCAGGACTGCAGGACCCAGGGCCACAGCGTGCCTGGGTCACCTGTCCTGCCTTTGAGGGGCTCCCAGGCAGACCTGAATGAGCACAGGACCTCACACAGGCCCTGGGCACACACCACTCAGGTGGTCCAGGCAGGCTGCAAGGTGGGGACAGCGGGCTTCACAGCCTCCCTCACGGCTGCTGCCGGCTGTAAGACACGTTAGGAGGCAGAGAGCCGGCCCCTCAGGAGTTGACAGGAAGCCCGTTACACCTCCCACCGCTGCAGCACAGGCATCCTCGCCTCTGTGTCCACAGTGACGTCCCCTGGCAGGTTCCCCAGCTGCCCCCAGGGCCCTCGTACCACGTAGGTGCCAACCGTGTTGAGGGTCCAAAGGCTGTCGGAGCAGCAAAGGACGTGAAGATCAGCTGGGAGCAGCCCTGTAGCCCTCATCCCACAGGTGAGGATGCTGAGACCAGAGGGAGGAGGTGGACAGCGTGGCAGGTGAGTGGCAGAGCAGGGGTACAGCTGTGCTTCCTCTGCCCCAGCGTGGACAGCGCTCACTAGTGCCTTACGGTGAAAGTCCATCCTTGCGGAAGAAACGGTCCTAAAGGCCAGAAATCCTGTTGGGTGAGGAGCTGCTGTGCACAGGTCTGGCTGGGTCTCACCTGGCTCAGGACAGCCCACGGTCGGGGCCATCCCACGGGCGAGCAGGAACGAGTGGGCATCTCCCACTGTTCCCACAGTGCGGGAAGTGGGGTGGGACAGTGCCGGGAATTAGCAGAAGCGAAGCTGGTGACTGCACTCCGCCCCACAGTGCCGTTTCCAGAACGACGTCCTGTGACGGTGCACATCTGCACCTAAATGTAGAAACGTACTTCTGAGTTTCACGGCTAACGGAGCCCATGGTTCTTGGTCTGTGTCTTCTCTTTGCCTCCAGGTACACATTGGCCAAATGTATTCGACTGACAAGCTCGTCATTGAGAATCAAGAGAAGCCCAGGGCCTAGGGAGCCGGGACCAGCCACCACCAGCAGCCGTGGACCACTTTCAGCATCCATCCTGCTTGGCAAGGGCACTCCCAGCAGACCACAAGTGGCCTCCCACATCAGCTTTAAATAGCTTCTCACTCTGCCTGATGAACTGAGCGAGGTTCCCGTTCTCCTGCAGCCTTAGTGACAAAAGGTGGCTGTCTCTCCTTGGTTGAAGTGTTAGGATGAAGAGCTGGAGCGCCTCAGGAGAATGCCGTGTACTGCTGCGTCTCCTCCAGCCCACCCCTCCTTGTAGCTCCTCGGCACTTGTATACAGCATTCCCAGAGTTTGTTTCTTGGTCCTTGACAATAAAGAGAAGGTCCCTAGGCCTTCTATACCGGACGCACCCATCATGCTTAATGCCCTTGTGTTTCCTGCTGGTTGCCGGGTCAGTGGGGAGACCAACAGGGAGGGTCCAGCCCTGAGCTGAGTCCCCCCTTTGCAAAGGCAAGTCCAAGCACCAGTAGAGATTTGGGGGCAGCTTGGAGTAGGGCAGAGCTGAAACGATAAAGGGTGCACCCTGCAATTCAGACCTGGGCCCAGTGCAACAGCAGAGGTGGCCTGGGTGTGGTTGCACACCTGGGGACAGGTACGTACAACCTGCTGCTCAGACTGTGGTCTCGGGATTGGCAACGTCAGCCCCACCGGGGAGCTTGCTGGAAGCGCAGAATCTCAAGCCCCACCCCAAACCTTTTGAATCAGAATCTTCAGTCTGACACACCCCAGGAGACTCCAGTGTCCAGCGAGGTTTGAGACATGCATCCCAAAGCTCACTTACTGAGTCAGAATCACCTGGAGAGACAGAGTTTTGGGGGGTTTTTTTGTTTTGTTTTGTTTTGTTTGCGGTACATGGGTCTCTCACTGCTGTGGCCTCTCCCATTGCGGGGCACAGGCTCCGGACGCGCAGGCTCAGCGGCCATGGCTCACGGGCCCAGCTGCTCTGCGGCATGTGGGATCTTTCCGGGCTGGGGCACGAACCCGTGTCCCCTGCATCGGCAGGCGGACTCTCAACCACTGCACCACCAGGGAAGCCCCAGAGAGTTTTTAAAAAGGAATTTCTCAGTGCTTCATACTCTGACTTGATAAGTGAGAGGTGAGGCACAATGATTTATAAATACATTTTAAAGCTCTCCTGGTCTTTCTAATGTTGAGCCAGTTCAGGAAACTCTGCCCTTTGAGGATGTTACAGGTGAAAACAGTATTTGTATGCATTTATCCTTGGAAACACATCAGTTAAAAACAGGGAAATAAGGTAGTAAATAACTTACTTGACTTATGGGAATTTTGTGAGGGACCCGGACACTGGGAGATTTCTTGGCTTACCTCCATAAACAGTACTGAGTGAATTCATTACTCGCGTGCTTGGGTTTGGAACAGGCTCATATAAATAGTTACAGGTCCTAA